TGTTCAAAATGTTTGCTTAATCGATAGGAAGACTTCAATTTCGAGGTTCTTCGTGGGCCTCATCTTATTACTAGCCCATACTGTACGGTTATCCATGTAGCTTGGAAAAGTGCTACATGACATGTACCCGAAATCGTGAACCCTTTATTTCCATATAACCGATGTGGAACACGTTTAAAAGGAAAAGTAATCGGGTAATAAGTCAATAATGTTGGCCCAACCAACATCTACCTATTTCAGAACCAAACATTTAATTCCTAAAAAAAAGACGTTTAATTAATTCCTATATTTTGAACATTTTGATCAGGATTATTGAACCAAACATGTATTTATATAAATTAAAAATACGTATAATTTAGTATTCACTATCAAAAATCTGATATAAATGCATACGATATACTATTTGGTAGTTCACTAATCGGCTAGCGTCTAACTTTTAAGTTACTTTTTAGAACAATGATCATAAATGCAACACCAAACTCAAAATTTCTTTTTCTGATAAAAAAGGTTAACTTTTAAGTTACTTTTTAGAACAATGATCATAAATGCAACACCAAGCTTGGATGATTGAATCTAAATAATTTTACAGTAGTAGTTTTGTATAATTGAGAGTCAACTAGAACGTCTATGTCTGAAATGTGAAAATTATGCAAAAAGTCTAATGGCACGTCATCATCAAATATCTGAATTATTATTTAGTTGCCAGCATTTGATAAGTCGGCGGACCACGATGCAGGTCAATGAAGCCATTTATCACAAAATATAAGCAAAGTCTCTCCAAAAGCCCAAACGCTAATTAGGAAATCTTTGAATTTATTTATTTCAGTCGTGACTTCATCTAATTGAATTATAAGTACATATGCAAGTTGTGTATATGTATATACCCATATTTAAATTAAAAATATATGACTAAACGTGAATTATGTAGTTATTAGATGGATAAGCCTTAGAAGGCCTATTCTGAATCTACACTTGGTCGATTTGGAATCCTGATCAATCACAGAAAAGACCCTTAAAAAATATGTATACCCTGTAGTTTTCATTATTGAATTCCTATTCTGAATAATGATATGTATACCCTTTAGTCTACACTTGGTTGATTTGGAATCCTAATCAATCACAGAAAATACCCTTAAAAAAATAATATGTATACCTTGTATATAGTTTTCATTATTGAATTTGAAACTAATGCTAAAACATTAACTGGCGCTAAGACACTTGACCAACGATTGAACATAATGGAACCATGGTTATGTGATTGAATTTGATATAAAAATTA